AAACAAGATTAATCAAAGCAACTGGTAAAAGCTGTCTGGCAGCGCGGTGTTTGAGAGCCAGACTATAAATTACAGCTCCAGAATACAGTCTAATAGTGAGTGCTGCCTCCGGAAGAGAAAATGTTCACTTTGACTCCATTCAAAAATATGGCACACCTACATTTTGGGGCTAACAAGCACAAAGTCGAAAAAGTGCCAGGCTATGACATAGTTGAGCTCAACTTACCTCGGTAGCACCGAGGGCTCCTTACTTACGGTCCCCAGAAACCTCGGCGCGTATTCCGTCCCCGCATTTGCGCCTCATTTTTTACCGTAATCTCCTAAATATTCGATTTTTTAATGTTGCACCTTTCTGCCGCGAACACTGTCCATTGGCCACTTACAGTAAGCTGTATGAGGTTCTCTTTGTAACGAAACCTAGTGTGATTTTAAGATCGGCGACATTTGTGGTTGCTTATCTGATGTGTATCGAAAAGATGACACTGCGAGATGCGTACAAGGAAGTGCAAAGCATTCGTAATATTATCTGCCCCAATGTTGGATTCTTCAAGCAAATGATCGAACTAGAAGAAAAGGTACCATTAAATAAAACCTCATTATTCTGTATAAAAAACATCAAGACCGTTCTGACAACCGGTATCACCTGTTAGTAATGTTACTAGCTGAACTTGGTCGGCTGTGCCATGCTGCATTCCTCTAATTCGTACCTATCGCTTATTCGATGTGTGTACATCATCTCCTTGAGGGTCGCCAGAGTAATCCGTTAAAATGTATTTATTATTCTTATATTTGAATTAGCTGCAGTTATGGTCTGATTCCTCAGCTGTGTAGTTGCTAGCTTTTCCCACGTGCTTTAACTAATGTTGCACAGCTTCGTGATTAGCCTGCTGCTGGTGATCCTGATGTTCGTACTGTCTCTTGAAACCATATCAACTTAACTGCTCTCTTGGCAGAATAATTTTCACAGGGCTTCAGAGACTCCTTTGGTATGTTCGAACGTCACTGCCTATCCCGAATAATGACACTCTTTGATCATAATAATTTACTGATGATAAAATTTATCATTATCTTTATTACACTGTATGGCTCACACCGTTTTTAAAATCCGTACACGTAGACAGAGGATGACTTTTCTGACGTCAAATTGTAAAATTTTATCTTAAGAAACTGATAAAAACACTGCTGCTTAATGATTCAGTTCGGAAATTTATCTCTGCTCAAATAAATTTAGTTAGCATGTTTCGGAGAAATGTGGTAATAGATGAATGAAAATTGCAAAAATCTTTTTAAAAAAGGAGGAAGAAAGAAAAATAAAATACGCAAAGCAAGATCCTGATCAAGAATGTTTTGGTCCATTAATTCATATATAAACCATAAGCATATATATTTTGCACATATGCACACTTATATACATATGTTCCTTTTCAGCACCACAGCTGGACCTCGTAAATACAGTAACTGTGTAAGGGTAGGTAACCACCTGATGCTCATGTGCAATGGAAATAGTAGAAGCAGCACAGGAAACGAGTGAAATGCACAAATTAGAAACTCTGCATCCTAAACATGTGCTGTTTTAGCTCTACAATCAAACAACGGTGAAGATAATAACACCAATAAATGGAGTTGAAGTGCCGGACGTTGTGTGGACAGAGCTCTATGAGGAAATGATGGATGATTTGAGCAAGAATAACGCCGGCAGATTGCTTGCCCAACAATAGCAGACATCTGTTTGCTTTGTCGTTGCACCAGTGAATCTTTGAGGACCGTACTGTTGTAATTTATTTCCTTATACATTTAAGATATTTTCTGGAAAGTTTTCGGATTTATAAACTGACCATACCACTGGTGTTTGACCAGCTACAATTCATAACGTAGTTCTCTAATTGTGCACAGATGGAGACCTTTTAAGTTTGACCAATGCACTGCCTCGTGGTCAGCTTGCTGACGACCCTACCATTTGTTTCATTCCTTTAAGTTTGGCTTATTAAGCTGTAACTATTAAAATTGTTCATTTCTTCCAGAAAATGTAAAGCTGTGTAATTTGAGGGTCCTATTGACATCCCGTTTTGCACTTGTTTTTGTTCTTGAACAAAATACTTCAATATCGTTCAGCACCATAATTCGGAATAGTTCCATTAAACTTGCATATTGGATGCCTGCTTTCGGAACAGCAACGATTCCTGAATTTGGCGAGATTAGAAGTAGTGAGGTGCATTCAGATTGGGCTGACAAATTTTTTTTTT